TTTTGACATCTAAAATGAAGATAACACTGCATATATCCTTTTTTACCTTTATGATTGATACACATACACACACACACAAACCTATAATAAAGGTAAAAAGGATATATGCAGTGTTATCTTCATTTTAGATATCAAAAGGGTTTTGCGGCTCCCAGTGTTTTCTTTTCAGTGGAAAACGGGTCCAAGTGGCTCTGAGTGTTTTGGGTTGCCTACCCCTGGTCTAGTGGTTAAGGCAACAGGCTAGAAACCCAGAGGCCATGAGTTCTAGTCTTGTCTTAGCCATGAAAGCCAGCTGGGTCACCTTGGGCAACTCACACTCTCTCAGTCCAACTCACCTCACAGGGTTGTTGCTGTGGGGAAAATGGGAGGAGGGAGTATTAGGTATGTTTGCCGCCTTGAGTTATTTTTAAAAATAAAAAAGCAGGAAACAAACAAACAGTCTGATTAAGACTCATGGCCCAGCTCATCTTCCAAGATGCACATACTCTTGCCCATGCAGTAGTAACGAGTCCACAATGGCCTCCATGACATAAATCAGCTTGCTCAGGGGCAATGCCACCCCATTTTAGTTATCAGCTAACCTTGAGGTACAATCAGTTTCAATCTACTTTGTCCTGTCCAGATTCTAACAGCCTCCAAACACAGGATCAAAGCATTAATGGCATCTACTGCACAGATAGCTGAGTATCATCAGCAAATTTCCCCAACCAGTGAATGACTTCTCCCATTTCATTTAAAAAATATTAAGCAGAAGGGAAAGGATGACTGAGCCTTCAATTTCTGATAGAGCTATCATCAGGTGACCTTTCTTCTCTCCCTAACTCAAAGTACCACAGTAAATCCTAATCTTTTCAGGTGATCCTGACAGATGCAAGCAACCAAATCCACACATCTAGAGCTCAAGCTAACTACTTCATTGTATTCTGCCTGTTTAATGCAGGAATCTCTCTAGACTGCTTGTTTTCCTTGGGAACAGATAGATAAGATTCCATGGAGCTGAGGGGGCGGGGCCACTCTTGGACCTCTTGACTCTGAAGTATTCAGATATTCCTTTAGAATATTTCATAGTTGATCACAAAGTTTCAATAACCTTGCCTAAAATGTGGAGGTTAGAGATGGGAAATTGCTTGCAGGTAAAGACTGGGGAGAGAGAGCCCACCCCAGGAGGAGGTCTTTTTCAAATCCACAGGAACAGCCTATTCCCACAATCAGGCAGTGACAACGTCCTGGATCCAATGTGACATAATTCATTTCAGAAGCAAAGGGGAACCTGTAGCTGAAGATATACCAGTATGTGGCTGAAGATATACCAAACACTACCCTATATACTTTGAGCCATAGATCAAAACAAATCAGTTTATCAGACAAGGCACCACCCTAGTCATTACATCTGACTTTGCCCATGAAAAGTCAAGAGATTGGCAAATCTGAGCAATTCTCAACAAAATACCATTAGAAGTCTGAAAAATCTAGTTTTGGCCCTCTCCCCAACACATTTTTTTCTTTTGTTCAATTGTGTCTGATTCTTCTTGGAGGGTGTCTGGACAAGTCCTTGCAGGTTTTTTTTGGCAAGTTTTTTCAAAAATAGTTTGCCATTGCCTCCTTCCCAGGCTGAGAGAAAGTGACTGGATCAAAGTCATACAGTTGGCTTCTTGCCTAAGGCGGGAGTAGAAGTCCCAATCTCCCAGTCTCTTCTGACAAACATCTTCCAAGGCATGTTTAATAACCCCTATCCCCAAGTAGTTTTTGCTATCTGATTATAGAAAATCACAGCATTCCTCCAATTGTCAGACACAGAAGTGATGCTGTGGTAGTTGTAATTGTCTGTAGGTTGATTATCTGTTTTTGAGGTCTGGTAATATTATCCTTTTCATAGCTTGTTGGTTATGTTGTAGTGGGTTGAGTGACCAGGTACTTTTTGATAAAGTTGCATGGGTATCCATTTTGTTTGAAGATATATAGATGGTCTTAGCATAATTTGACTAAATCAGGTGTGTTGTATCATACTGCTGCCATGGATTCCTTTACTAGTTCTGGATCTGTGAATGTAAAAAATGCTGTGACATCAACTCTCCAGTATAGTGCCTCCAGAAAGTAAAAAAAACCTAAAAATAGAATATGAAATTATGATTTCATTTAATGTAATGGCACTGTTTATGAATATCATTGCAACTTTATCAAAAACAATCAACAGACTATCACAACTACAAGGCATTACTGTAGCACACAAACCAACTAAAGCCCCCCCAAACATCTTAAATAAACCAAAAGACCCAATAGAAAAAAAATCATCTACAACATATAGCATAAGGACTGTAACAGCCAATACATGGGGCAGAGAGACAGAAGACTAGCACAGCACATCTATGAACATTAACTAGCAGTCAGAAGACACAATGAAAACCCCTTAATCTTACAACACACGGAAGACTCAATCAGTTTCCACTGAGAAATTCTGAGCATCCTAGACTTTGCTAAATCCAAAAATGCTAGGGAATTCCTGGAAGCTTGGCTTTCAGACAAATCAGCCATTAATAGACACATAGAAATAAACTATATTTGCAAACCATTCAAAAGATTAAGGAAACAAATAGAACACATCCTCTTGCAACAGCTAACATCCAGATAAATAGGGATTAACACCAAGCAAACAAGTAAAAAATAATCATCAAAGAATTACTAAGGAGCAAACCATACCCACACCCCAGTCAAACTACTGTAGCAGGGTGAGCTACTGCATATAAACAGGGAGCAACTTACTCCAAGGATGTTATTAAATTGGGTAATGAAATGTCTGCAAGCAAACAACAAAGCTCAGAGAGCACCAAGGACTCCACCGTTCAACCCTGAGCTACATATATTCTCTTAATTTGGGTTTATTCATATTGCTCCACTTACACCAACAACACCTACAGTTTTACTAGTTCAATATTCTCATGGCATTTTGACATTTGTTTTTTGTCTTGGCCATTACCATTATTTCAGTTATTTCAACCCCACTCTGTGATATATTGCTACCATTTCCATACAATCCTCTAAAATATTCTTTTAGCATTCCCTCACTCCAGCTTCAACCCAAGTCAGGTCAGGTACCAACTTACTTTCATATGTACCCCAAACAAATGATTTAATTGCAACTATTTTCATTTCTATCCACCTTTTAACCAACCCCCCAAACTATTTTAGTTGCAACCAAAGCTAATATTTTCTCTGCTTCTTTTAATCTTAATTGTACCTTGTTTGCTTTGACTACATTCTTCACAATGCTTTTTCTTTAAAATACTTTATATACATCTTTTGTAGAAATCATACATTTTCCCTCATCAACAGGTTTTTTTCACATCAGCACCACCCAGCATACTTTCCTACTTCTCATTAGCATAACTAACATTACTTCTGCTGACTGCAGTTTGGCAGTTGGATTCTCACCGGCTCAAGTCTTCCATCCTTCCGAGGTTGGTAAAATGAGGACCCAGATTGTTGGGGGCAACAGGCTGACTCTGTAAACCTCTTAGAGAGGGCTGTAAAGCATTGTGAAGCAGTATATAAGTCTAAGTGCTATTGCTATTTGCTAATCCAATTCTTTTTAGTTTGTTTCAAGCAGCTTTTATTCAGGACTCATATTACCATTTCTTGCAATTGTTCTATTTTCATTTGTTTCTGTCACTTTTTTCCCTTCCATATCTATCTTTCCCCCAAGATCCACTTTTGAATTATCTAATTTGCCCCCACCACCCCCACCACTCAGAACTTCTCATCACTATTGTGTAGTACTCTTTCAATTCTTCATCAAGAAAGCCTCAAGCTTTTGCACTGATAAACACCAGTGTCTCAATCACTTTTCTGTTGTTTCGTTCACCTTTGTAACATGGAGCATAATTCCTATGGACTAATGCTTAGGCTACTATGCAAAATTGAATTCAATATAACATTCACAACCTGCAATTTTTTATTTTGCTATTCTCTGTATGTTCAAACTCTGCTTTGGAAAGTTGTTGAAAGTTCACAGAAGCTGCAGCAAGAAGGGAAATGGTTTAAAGTGAATTAAATTCCTTTAGCATAAACCATTTTCATCAATGGAAATCTGCCACTCACATACTAATTATTCCATTGTCTACTTAGAGCACCATGATCAAAGCTCAGAATTGTTTCAGGCTCAGATTAGGCATCAATTCATTGGATGCCCCTAGGTCAGGGGTAGGCAACCTTGGCTCTTTTATGACTCGTGGACTTCAACTCCCAGAATTCTGGGAGTTGAAGGAGTCATAAAAGAACCAAGGTTGCCTACTACCCCTGCCCTAGGTGAACTAACTCAGAGGTCAGTCTTATCAACATTATGGCAAAATAATGGACTCTTAGAAATCATGTAACATGACTTTGAATGCTTTTAAATTATGCTATATTACTGCTACATATCTGCAAGTAAAGACCACCCATAAAATAAGCAAATAGGATAAATGTAAAACAAAACTATTGGGAATTTATTCTCAGCTGTACCAAGATGCATTTGAAAATATAGTGTCAGAATACAATGGCTAAAGTAGTTCAGCATCTCCTAGCGTGTAATTTCATAATTCTTAGAAGGCTTCTTGAAAATATACATACACAGTGGATATTTCCAAATATTTAGAGCAATATTTTTAAAAACAATTTTTTCGTAATCTGTAGTATTGTATTTATTAAAATATTACTATTTTGCCCAATTTTTATTCTTTATGTATAGTATAGTCCATACTACATGAAATAGAACTGTGTGATACATTACCAGGATTAGCAATCTTGGTCTGACATATAAACTCAGACCATCCAGAATATCATCATGGAAGTTAATACTATCAGAACTGAAACTGGAGTCAAGCTAATCTGTTTTTCCCCACAGATGTACAGCCTTTAATGATGAATCCTTGAAGATTCACAATTCTCAAATGAAAGCATCAAAAGAAAACTGAAGAGTGATTCTTAAAACAGACAGCTAAAAATGAAGCCTATTCACACAGTTATATGTAATGACTGTAGTAATCAGTTTATTACACAGATTAATCATTCTTGAACGTACAAGCTCCAAGGGAGCAGCTGGGTCTTTAAATATACACAAGTCTGTCAAATGAATTTTACCCTTACATCCAGAAAGACCTAAGCCATTAAAAACTTAAGAAAATAAGAGCTATTAGCTATGTTAATTGAGAAAACACATACAAACCAAAATTATGAAAGGGAGGGGAAGGGGCAGGGGGAGACTTGTAATAAAATCAACATCACTTGATGCACTAATAGCTCCAATGCATTTAAGTTCTGACCAGTTAAACTCAGACTTTTAAACACAGGATGTAGGTACAATTTGATCTTATTGGTCATACATTTACCTTAGTAGGTCCTTCAGAATAAAATACAGAACAGCTTTAAGTTCTTCACATTTCTTTTCATTACAGTTATGAGTTTAAAAGGATTCCATTTTTTAAAAAAACATCCTCTTGAATCATTAAAAATCCCCAGAAACACAAGAAACAATTTATTCTTCCCCTCTCCCTCCATGGTTGGCTTCAGTGCCCAATTGAAATCTCTTAGGAATGCTTTTATGCTCACAACTAGACTTTGATAGAAGAACTGGCTTTTGACACACATTTCTTTGCTAGGAGTCAATGTTGGTATGGAATACAGTATTTCGTTGTTCCAAGTGGGTACAACACGCAGCACTGCTGTATCAGGTAAACATGTGCACAGGGGAAGATGAGGCGTGGGCTCATAGAAAGCAGTCAAATGGAAATCAAAAGGACTTTCTCTTTCAGAGTTCCCCTATCTTTATTTGTAGAGGTTATCCAATAATTTCTTTAATTACATCGCATACTTCTGAGTCCATTCTCGAGCTATTCTGTTGTACCTGTATATGTATATATATATATATAAAGATGATTAATAATAGGTAAGCTTCACCAAACATCAAAGCAGCTAATAAAAATAACATCTGTAGATGTAATATGCTAAATAAATAAATAATCACATCCACTCCAACACTGTTTTTAGAATAACAAGCAGAAATGTTTCTGGTGTCTCCTATCAACAGTTAAGAATATATATTTTTTTTTAAAAAAAAAGAGTTCCCAAAACCCTACACACTGCCTGATGAACCTTTCCTAACACACCCACAAATGAGCATATTGTATTTTACATTTTTGATCTCACTTTACCTCAGTTATGAACTTCATGCAGTACATTTCACAGGTTGCAAAGCATGAAATCTAGTCATGTTCGATTTCTTTTAATGTTAGTAAAAGAAAAATATAAGGATTACTTTACAGATTAGCTATCTGTTCGAATTTTTATTTGTAAAATAATTCAAAATGTGTTCCAATTCTAATGTACTCTGTTATCACCCTATACAATTTTCTAGGTCCAGAAGTCCAAAACAGCCACTTTCATTGTGCTCAAGCCTAATTATTTTTCTTTTTCAGGCAATTCTTAATTGCTAAATGTTGCCAATTTCAGTTAGCAGAATTACTGTTTAGTGGTACAGCAGTAATGACGCAGGAAGAATAATGTAGCTGTAATAGTGCGTGGGAAATTATTTCTTTGAAATGGAACCAATAGAACCTCAAAGTTTTCCCAGTAAAACTAACTGGAGTATTCATCGTTATTAATCATGCCACATCTCATGTAGTATTTTTTGTTCACCTACCACCACCTGAATCATGTGTCTTGTGATAGAAGTTTAAGTTGTTCCTCCCTCTGCAGCCTAAAAGCAGAAACTGAAAGGCCTAAGAGAGGCAATTGTAAAATAATGTGTAAAAGTACAAATTTTAATGACTAGAATTTTAGTGGATTAATCAATCTGGTTGAGGAGTAAACCTTATTCCTAACTAATAATTACCAGATATTTTAAAGCTGAAAATACAAAGCTGCTAACAGAAGACATTACTCTTGAACAAGAAAAAAACATCGCTAGTATCAGGTACATAGTCACAAATTAAAATATTCTCCTTATTCTAAAAAAACAATCTAACCATTTTATTTTTTAAAGATGTTTAACTACCATACTCACTTTTCTCTATCTGTTTTGTAGATCCGTGCAATCTCAGGCACTAAAGGATCATCTGGATTGGGATCACACAACAGAGAACAGATGGACAAAAGTACTAGAGGGAATAAAACACAACATTTAGGATTTAAATCCCCCCTAAAGATTTTGCTGGTCATTGTCTGAACAAACAATATTTAATTTCCTTTCAGGATCCCTAAAGGAGATTTAAGTCAATCTTTTTCATGGGTTTTAAAATTTGGATGAGATAAATGTCTTTCTATTTGACAAGCTATTTTCTACAAATGCCTCCCTTATTCCCCTTGTACATACAATACTGGAGTTAGACACACCAAATTTGCAGACCAATACAAAAGTGAATTCTGAAAAAGTGACAGTTTTGCCAACCCTAGAACAAGCACTAATCACTGTTTATGAAAGTTTCTTCTGATTGGTGATAGAGAATGCGTTAAATTCATCTCCTGCCCAAGAAGGCAGGACAATCACATACATGGCTCTTTTTCATACAGCCTGTCAGTGATAAGACAGACTGGGACAAAACAAGGGGAAGATAAGCCACTGAAAAAGCATTAACTTTAGGAAATGAGAGGAGCCTGTTTCAAAATAATCATTATAGAAATTATATAAAAGACACATTGGAAAGTGAGAGGACTATCAGCCTGGAAATCTACCTGGCCAAAATGATACCTATGAAAACCACAACTTTCAGGGACATCAAGCTGAGAAAAAAGAATTGGGGATCTTTGAGAACAATATGTAGGTTTCACCATAAATATCTGTATGCGTAGGCATGTTTAGAAATGAGGAATCCTTTGAATTCCCTCTGAGTATTTGATAGTAGAATGAGATTCAAGGCAATACTTACTTAGTTACAATATGTAAAAAATCAAGGATAATGCCATGTTTGTCTACACAAGATATCTGGTTGAAAACCCCATCTACAGCCCATGTTGAAAAAAGGAAACTACCTGTGTAAGCCAACTGCCTTGTGTTCAGCATTAACAAATAAGGGTCTCCAATGGATCTCATATATTCTTTGAGTAAAATATTTTTTGAATGGTTTGGTATACTCAAGTTGGACATTTCTCAGCAACCAGGCAGCTAATTGCAGCAATTCAGGTTGGGTGTGGAAAAATGCGGGAGTTGGTGGAGAAATACTGAGACTCAATGATATAGCCTATATCCTCCACTAGTAAATCACTTCTGATTCTCTTTAGCACCCTTGCAATTAGCAGAAATTATGGGAAGGCACATGGAAATCTATTCTGTCATGAGGAAGAGAAGCTACCCACAGCTTATGTTCAGAAAAGAATTTATTGTATGTATGTACGTATGTATGCATGTATGAAAGTATGTATGTATATCCTGCAACAATCAGTTCAAGAACATAAGCAGTACCCCACTGGATTAAATCACTGGCCCCTATAATCCAGCATTCAACTCTCAGCAGTCAAGAAGCTAGTTTGTAGAATCAGAGATCCCTCTGATAAGAAAGCTAAGACTGATTTCTTTGAATGTGACTAGCAGGTATCTTTTTTCTTTTCTTTTTTTTTTAGTTCTCCTGTATTTTTCTTAGGAATGGAAGGCATGGTTTTCCTTTTATCTTTGGTTTTCCAGATATCCTTAAGGACTTTGTTGCCTTTGAGACACTTCCTCCAAACTTGCCTTGAAGGTTGTCTCAACTACCCAATGAAGCAGAGAAATCTTCTACCGTAGAACAGCAATTGCAGCGGTATTAGATATCGAGAAATGCTTTCCTCTATAATGTCAGCCGTAAAGGAAAACATTTCACATGGTTTAATAAGCCCTTTATGGAACTCAAATCTATCTAGATCTTCAGCAACCAGCAGATCCTCCAGCTACACAATAAAAATCCTGGCAGAGAAAGAAGTGACAGAGCCTTTTAAACAGGGGCTTGCAGCTCAATGCATTTTCTTAAGGCAATATTGAGTACTTTTTTTTGCAGAATCTCTTAAAGGAGCATCTCCAATATTGGGGGTACGGGGATGCAGCTAGAAGAAAACCTTAAAACTATTTGCTGATATTCATTATATATATTATCACTAACTTGATTGCTTTTTTTCTAAAGGACAGTCTGATTCCACCTTAACTATTTTGTTAAGAACCGATAAAAAAGGTTAAATAGGATACTATGTAAGAAAAGTTTCAGAATAACTTATGTCTGAATTTTGACTGAATTGTATGTGACTAATGCTGTCATGGGACCAAGATCTAAGACTGCTATTATTTTATACAGCAAGAGGACAATTTTACTATGCTATTCTTCTATGTTAGTAGAAGTATAACCACTTCCCTTCCTTTCTACAAACTGGGAATAGAAATAGAACAGAAATTGGGAAACAATAGAAACTTGGAAAACCCTACCTAAGGGAAAATGAAGGTCAGGGTTCTACATTCAATTATCAGTGTGCAAATCTTTAGATTTATTGGCTAGCTTTTATGATTTTATGGGTTTTGGATCATAAGAAAATGAAGGTGGTGAAGGCAAAAAAAATCAAGAGAAACTTTTTTCTTATGGAATCTTTTAGTTACATAAAATCTGAGTAATCTTGCCTAATTGTTTAATCTGATCTATGAAGGACAGAGCCAATATTTAAAATTAAATGGAGATCTGATTTTTAGTCTTATAATATTAAGTCAGCAGAATCATTTTACTGTTTCCAACCTCCAAGTGGTGAGGTAGTGCCACCTATTGGTGAGCTTGAACTTATTTTATTGCAAATGCAAGAATAGTTAAGGCAGAACTCCTTCCCAAAACATTTAGCACCAGGATTCTGCATGCAAGGTGGGACACCCAACATAAGATCAAGAATTGTAACAGCATGGACAGTTTCTAAGAATTAAATTCCACATTGCATTGGCACATCGATTTTTGCAGGTTAAACTACAGTAGGTCATTAATTGGTTTGACTACTCTGATGTAATAAACAAAAATTATTAAGAGACCTGTGCCCTAGTCTTTTAGTTATAAGGAGAGGTGGGAAGCTCAACAGATTAGAAAAATGTACAACTCTATTTGCTCTCAAGACTGAAATGTGTCAATACAGGATGAGAAAACACATACAGCCTTGGGCAAGCACATGAAAAAAAAATAAGAAGAGCATAGAGGCACTAACAGCTGACTTTAACTATATGACCTTCCCTTCTTAAGCAACTTAAGAGTTTAACCCATATTTGGATGTCTCCAAGCACCAGAGAGTAAGAATTTCTATTGTACAAGAGTTGGAATAAGAAAAGAGAGGGTGTTAGATGTCAAACATATTTGAATAAATAAAGTCACAATTGTAAAACTAGACCAGACCAGGTCGAATTAGTACCAAACATAATAAAAGTAAATCATTCTTTTAGGTAAATCAAAACAACTTTATTTTGTAAACATATACAGATAATCAAAGCTTGATGACATCATTGCCTGACTGAAAAGTATCAGAAACTATAAGATTTTTTTTAATTTATAAAATGTCTTAATATATTTCTTTTCTTTAAAATAAAACATTGTAAGATAAAACAATTTTTCTCTATAGAGTTTGAAATTTGCTTTAAAATTAAGTTATTTACTAGGAGAATCTACATAAAATATTGTTGTACAACATTATGAGTTGCATAATTGCTGTACAACATAATCATATGTGCAGATAATATAACATCAATGTGCAATACTGTGGCATATTACAAACTTTAGAAAGCCAGAGAATTACAACCAACAAAAAGAATTGAGTATGCACATTTAAATGCAACAGTTTGCAGATAAAGCTACTGAATTTTTCCAGAACCTCTCCACAAATTTACTGAACACCTGAAAGTTTAAAAATGAGCAAAGGATTATGTATGCAACCATGCTTATGCAATCTGAAAATCATAAAGCAAGATTCTAATTTGTTGAATGAAATGTGCTCATACTGACACTGCAATATTTCAACCAATGTGCCTATATTTTAAGCATAAGAAAATGTTAGAGAAGGGATATGCTAATTTAAAGGAGTATTATAGAGATTAGTTGTTCCCTTTCTCCCATAAGCACTCAGAAAAACATCTGTTTGTTCTCCTTGATGTTGGTGTTAATAAAAGAGTCAAATCTAAATGAATTTTCCATGGTAAGAACAGACTCTCTTCATACTGTTTTTATGGGGATTTATTTAAAAATTTTCAAAAATATATTTAATTTGCAACATAGGGGGTTAGCTATACTGAGCATGATTATAAGACATCTTCTTTTGTGGCGTGAAAAACAAAGAAGCAATAGGTGGTCCTAAGTTTTCCTATTTTTCCATTGCTGAGTGTTCCAGCACATTTAAAATGAAGTACTTTTACTCTGAACTTGATACAAAATTTATGTGCACCATTTTGTGCATATGCTTGCAACAATGCTGTTGCATTGTTAAAACAACTGCATATTTTGAATATTTATTTGATAATAAAATAATTACTAAAAAGAGCTTGGAATTCATTTTAACAGAATATTTAACCCACACAATGCTCTTTACTGCTTGCTGCCTTTCCCCCCCCCCCCAATTTAATATTTCAATTCAGATATTTCTGGTTATTAGATTTTTTTAAAAAATAGATCCAAATAATACATATAATTAAAACTAAATACTAATGTTTCAGTTACAAAACAGAAATACAAAACTTGCTCACAAAACCAAAGCAAAGGCATACATGAGACCAAGATAAACCTAAATTGATTTAATATAATTTAAATTCTGAATTGGTTGCAAGTAGGAAATTAAAGAATAAAGACAGCTGCATATGTATCATTGTCTCTAGAAATATATCCATGTACAGTAAAAGCTCTTTTACTTACCTTTTGAAATAGTTAATGCTGGAGACCATTGCGACCGTAGAATATCAAGACAAATACTGCCATTACTGTTAATATTTGGATGGTAAATTCTTGTCGTAAATGCAACCTGTTAAAAATAAATTATCTTCTTGGTTTACAATACCCAGCATAAGTTATATCAACTATGTTAATATCTAAAAAGTTCCTTACCTTAGGCGGTTTAAAGGGGTAATCTGTTGGAAAGTGAATTGTCAAGAAGAACACACCACCCTGATAGGGACTGTCATTCTGCAAAGACAAAGCTATTAGAAGATGATATAAGATATTGGCCTCTATCATAATTAAAATTGGAAGGCTACTTACTGGTCCCATTATTGTTGCTTGCCAGTGAAACACTAGAAGAAAGAAGAAGTGAAAGCTTGACTAAGACACTTAAAACTAAAGTTCCTCTCTTTACAACCCCAGCCATTTTAAGCCATACGCAGCTGTACATTTCCACCCCAGGCCACCCCAACGATGCCCTTGACGTGATGGCCCGTTGCCTGGAGGCCGTACGGGTCTGGATGGGGAGGAACAGACTCAGGCTCAACCCCTCCAAGACCGAGTGGCTGTGGCTGCCGGCGCCTCGGCATAGTCAGCTGACCCCATCGCTGACTATAGGGGGCGAAATCTTGGC